ATATTACGTATATGATTTTTTAAATTAAAAATAATAAAAAAGATTTAAAAAAATTATTGATTATATTTATTTTTAATTAAAATAAATTTCGCCAATAATATTTTTAAATTTCTTTTTTAATTTAAAAAAAATACATACATGATATATTTTACTTTTAGTTAAAATAAATTTAATCAGTAATTCTTTTCAAATTTTTTTAGTTTGAAAAATCACTGACATAATATATTTTAGTTTTAATTAAAAAAAATTAAAATGTAATTACTTTTTTTTGTAAATGTAAGTATTTTTTATCATATTTGTTTAATTTTATAGATCTAAATTTTTTTTGGTTCAAAAAATGTTTAGAAACTTAATCATTCAAAATATGAATGTTCATTGGGTTTTTTTCGGATTTTTTCTATTATTTTACCACATTAACCAGTTGTATTGGTCATAAGGATGTATCTAGCAGGTTTTAGAAAGTCGAAGAAGTTATTTAACATGTTTTGGAATGTCCAATAACTTATTTGTTTTAAAAAATTATCCAGGGACTTAATTATTCCAAACATTAAAGTTCATAGGGTTTTTTTTAGACATTTCTCTTAGTTTTATAGGTCATAAGGATGTATATAATAGGTTTTAGAAAATCCAAAAAATTGTTTAGCAGGTTTTAAAATGTTCAAGGACTTATTTGTTCCAAAAAATTATCTAAGAATTTAATCATTCCAAACACTAAAGTCTATTGGGTTTTTTTAGACTTTTCCCGATTACTTATTCTAGTGTGATATCGATAATAAGAACTTTTGAATGTTTTGATGAATAATTTATATTGATGTCTAACCGGTAATAAAGAGTTTTTTAAGAAGTTAAAGTCTTCTAACTTATAATAAATTGATAAGAACTTTTATAGAAAATCATAAATTAGTAAATAAAATCTTTAAAATAAAAATACATTTAATTTTAAGAGATTATTTATTTAAAAGATTATAAGATGTTAAAATATTTATTTTATCTAATAAAATATTATTTCTT